GGGGGGGGGGGGGGGGGGGGGGGCAGTAGCGTAGCGAGGGTGTTTGGCGCCCGGGGACAAGATTCGCGCCCGGGGACAAGATTCGCGCCCGGGGACAAGATCCAGTTTAAAGCGCCCCTTTTTTTCAACTCTCAAACCCATTATTTTCATCAATAAAATAATATCAAAGCACATTTTGGCGCCCCTAACTAGCTGGCGCCCGGGGACATCTGCCCCCCCTGCCCCCACCACGATACGCCTCTGGGGGGGGGCTCTTGTCGGCATGTCTGTATTGTGGCATGCTTAATATTAAAGAGGCGCTGCCACCGACCCTCCCCCCACCACTAGTGTAGATGCACCATCCCGACCCATGGGAAAGTCGCTTTGCCAGTGTGGTGAGAGCAATACCATCGACCGACCAGATATCCTCAGACTGAGATGCCCCCCCCCCCCCCTAGTCAATCGGGTGTAGTTACAGGTGGAAGCTGTCCTAGGCGGAGATCTCGGACGCGCTGCTTCGCGGCCCTATAGTTGGTGGACTTCTCTGGCTTGGGAGGAGTGTGCTTGGGGGAGGGCATTCTTAAGAGCTTAGGCTCGACGGCTCGATGACGTCATTTCCCATGTATATTTGGGTGGAAAGAAATGGAGATAACCTAATCTCTCTTCGGGGTAGGGGAGAAAACTGTAAAATATTTTTAGCAATAATTTAAATTTAAAAAAAAGATATTTGTGGATTCAGATCAGGGCCATGCCAAGCAAAATTGGCGCCCGGGGCGAACCATAAAAGTTGAGCCTACCACAAAGTGGCACCCGGGACAGACCAGGAAAATGATAATGTTAGTGCCCCTTTTCTTTGTGAAGTACATAAAAGGATTTTATCGTTAAATTCAATATTGAAAGGTCCTATCTAAAATAGGATTTTGGCGCCCGGGGAAATCGCCCCTACACCGACCTCCCCACTTCGAACAGCCAGCCATCATACAGGTTACGGGCTGCCGCTGTTACATCTTGTTACGGTTGAAATCGTAATGATAAACGATTGATGAGATGCGTAATAATAAAGGGTTGATTGCACCGCGTACAGAAAGGTCAAACCTTAATGAGACCCATGAAACGTTTTTTTTACGGCCCTTGACTTTTTCCACGGGCCACAAACTCCTCACGAGGATTTCATGTGAGAATCCCTGCACTTAAAATCGGACAAAGTGAAATTGAAAATTGATACCCGGGCTATTACCGCCAGCTCGACATTAACAGGAACCTGAAGCACCTGCAAACCACAAAGATAACTGGTCACCGGTACTGCCTTAATCCCTGATCCGTGGCGCAGCCTACATACCACCACCAACCACCGGGGCCGTAGCTGATGC